TTCGCGAGATTCACTCTCTCTCTCTCTCTCTCTTCGTCTTTTAGAATTTTATTCCTTCCTTTTTTCTCTTGCAAATTTCGTAATGGGTCCTACGTCCGAGAGCCTCATTAGCTGACCCAAGCGCTTACAAAGTGTCCGATTATGATAAGCGATTCGGTGAAAAGGGGAAACGCCGTTCTGGCTCGATTGACTCGCGCAAATGTATTTCTAACTTGAGATACTTTTGGACTTTTTATCGGCCTTTGCTATCATTCAGAAAGTAATGATGGATATTCGAGTTGATACTGATTAAACGAGGAGACGATATGGCCGACATTTCTTCTGTGTTATTGCATAAGCGACAGGGATAGTGGAGTATCTGGAGTAATGGGGATGACGAGAGGCAGCGTTGCAGGGGGTCGGAAGGGGGTCGGAAGGGGGTCGGAAGGGGGTCGGAAGGGGGTCGGTGGGGCAGTCGATGTGCGCGAGAAATTTCATGAGGTCTGCTCCTCTGGATGTAAGTCAAAGGGCGCATGCGCAGCCTGAAAAGGAAAGTGCACGCCCACTGGCAATGCCGCCCCTGAACCTAGACCTACACCCTCGCTTTCTGCTCCAACCCCTAGTTTCGAGTTGCCCCCAACCTTCAAAAGCAGCTACCACCTTACACACCCCGAGCTGCCTGCCTGCTCGGAGCTCGGCAGCCGTTCACGAGCGCTCGGATTTGCATGTGTCGATATTGGAAATTGCGGCTATCGACGTTACTACTTTTTGATTAGCTTTTATTTTTTGCTCTTTTCTCCTCTAGTTTCGCATTATTGTTCAATTTCTATTTCTGATCGTGGCTCGATGCTGCTGTGCTCCTCGTTTCTTTTTAATAAGGCTTTTCACCCAGCCTCCCATCTTCGAACTTTGTAATCTTCCGATCCTTGCCTTTTTTGCCAATTTACATTTCTTAAAGAAATTTTTTATTTTATATTTCAATTTTTCAATGTCACATAAACTCCATGCTTGGCATTTTGTCATCGTGGAACGGTCTGCGTATCCAATGACGAGTGTAGATAGTGCATGCGTTAATTGCAAGGGGCTATACATAGATGTATATATGGTGTCTTTCATTAATCGTATTGGCCATTAACTACTTTACGACAGTCGTTATCTTTAGAACGTTCAATTAGCGCAAAGATCGTTCCTTCTGAAAGACGATAGATTTCTCTGCAACTTTTTTTTTTATCGGATCGGCCGATGTTCACCCTGGTCCCAGAAGGAACCTTTTTCTTTTTCATTTTCTCCGTGTTTCTTAATCTTTTTTTTTTACATCTCTCTCTCTCTCTCTCTCTCTCTCTCTCTTTGTGTCTTTCTCTACAATACTCTTTACCTTCGTCCTTTCTCTCTTGTGCACGATGCATTCTCTCTCACTACGGAACTGCCAGCGGTTCCGTAACATCTGGTTCTACCCTTTGTGTCTTTCTCTACAATATTTTCTCCGTGTTTCTTAATCTTTTTTTTTTACATCTCTCTCTCTCTCTCTCTCTCTCTCTCTCTTTGTGTCTTTCTCTACAATACTCTTTACCTTCGTCCTTTCTCTCTTGTGCACGATGCATTCTCTCTCACTACGGAACTGCCAGCGGTTCCGTAACATCTGGTTCTACCAACCCCGCATACCAAAGGAACCCTTTATTCATGGCTACCATCCTAGAAACCCGAAACGATCAAAACAATTTTTTTATTCTTCGTGGACGGATTATCGGGCACGGATTATCCTTTCGGAACAGACCTCCTTGCTAAAGGTAGCCCCAATTCCAAGTAGACCTCTACTGGAGGTCTCTAACCTCTCCGAAAGTTTACAAACAACTGGCCTGAATTTCTTTTCCGTTGAATCACGATGCCCTGTCCAACGATGATCATTCGCCGGTAGGAACATCTTTTTTACAAATCTTTCGTCATCACTTCAATTTTCTATTTCACTTCTATGAAACAATTTTTTAACCACGTCCTTCGTATGCCATTTATTATTTTTTTAAAAACTTCAAAATCCTACTCTCCAGCTCGTATCCCTCTGTCTCACGTGTGTCGTCCGACTGTAGATTAGAATAATAAAGTAATGACTTAAAATTCAAATCTTTCTTACATTTTACTTAAATCACCTCAAATTTCTATGCACGATTATTGTATTTGAGTGAGAGCAACCGTATCGTATTTTGTCAATTTTTATCATTTGGACAATTTCAATTTTTCATACGGTCTATTATATTATACGGTACTCTCCATATCATATGCGATACCATCGAAAAAGAGACGTGTGACATATTAAATGAACGTATTTCTAACTGTACCTCTTTGCTGTTTACAATTCTCTTGTTATCCCAGTTTTGTCTTTTAGATATTTTACGATCGATAATAAAATTCCGTAACATAATGCAATACGTATCGCGTTTCATTCTGTTTCTCAGAATGGCCATCCTGTCCGTGAAGAAATGCCCAAGTGACCTTGCGACGTCTCCTGTTTCTGTGAGAATTCCTAGGAAGGAAAATTCGAGAAAATTCGTCTGGTAAGTGAATATATGGTAAATAATAATGATAATCTGGACAATTATGTCGTAAAAAAATAATTTCCAAAGTTGCATAATATAGTTAAAATTGAGTTAATTATACGACGTTGTACGGAAAATTGATAGGACGAAGGATGCATCAAAATATCGAGGGATTTCTAATACTTGGTAATTCGAATCACATGAAATTCCCGGGCGTGTTATGCGTGTTTATAAATAAGTGCCTGCTGATAAAAAAGATTGGCTATGCACTCTCACGTAACATATGTATATATGTTTACGAATTACTATCGGCGCTGATAAGGACACTCGCTCAATTTCATAACTGAACGTCAAACAGATTGGCATAACGATAATCGGTCGGTCGAATTCGCAATTACTCGAACACTCGTGCCACCCGTGAATCTCGTGTACCTTTTCCCTTGTGCTTTGTAGATTTATCATCGACGCTCTGCACGCGGGAAGTTACGTGAGTTTACTTTCTTCTTTGCTCCTGATAAGCGTAACACTCGATGGGCGATAATTGGCCGTTCGCGTACGAATGAAATTACGTAATTTCCTCAGCAAACTCCAAATTTTTATACGTTCTTGTTGAGCCTATCGTGATACATTACGCATGTGACAGATTATGATAAGAGGAGAGAGAGAGAGAGAGAGAGAGATACAGAGAATCTATCGTTCTTAAAAATAAAATTCCGATAAGGACGTTTCTTTTATTTTTTCATTGCAATTTCATAATTCACAAATTTTGTATAAACATGAAATTGATAATTTTCTAATTATTATCTGATTAATCGCGAGTCAAAGACTCGATGGATTCGATCGATGAAATTTGTAGTCAGTCCATATACAGAGCCAAACCAGATCGTCCCTGAGGTAGAAAATTATTATTTAGAAAATTTGAATTTTTCCGAAGTCTGAAGAAAAAACAATTTAATAAAAAAAAAGCGATGTTTTAATACTCGATTCAATAGTATATATTTAAAGAGCGACGTTCTCCCGAGTCGCGATTGTCAATTCGCTCATTGAGTCACGTGAATATAATAGCTCTAACGTACGTGTATACATGCACGCGTACGTATCTATATGATACGAAGTATGAGGGGAGTGAAGACTCATTGAGATACATTGGATAAGCAGAGACTGATACGAGTGAAGTACGATCCTAAATATTTACAGCTCGGATCGTCGCGACGTAACGAAGGCACCGTAATCAGGATCAGCAGAGAGTTTCGCCGGTATGTCGCTGCTGTTGACATCGGCAGAAGGAACTGGAGGGGATAGGAGGCATGGGCGGAGGAGAAGGAGGGGAGGCGAATTCAGGGTCAGGTGGTTCTTCGTGAGACCCAATTACTGGCGAAGCATGCTGGAGAACGGTTGAGGTGGGATTGTGCGCATCGGAACCAGGAGAATGTAGCTTCAGGGCCGCCGAGGGCGCCGGGACGGCAAGTCGGAAGGATGTACCGATAAGAGGAAATAGATGTGGATAAAATATAAAAAGGTTGAGAGAGGCTTCTCATAGGAATTCTGGGAATTCTATACTGCGGTTATCCGTAGCAGCGAAAACTATGCATAAGGTTGGGAGAGTCTCCAAGTGCATCTTTAATGATTTCAATGATCCCCGCGAGCGCTGTCAGTCAGTCTGTTCGAATTTTCCCGATTTCGCTGTTTCCCTCCCCGTAACAAGGTGCATGATTGTGAGGGTAAAGACTAGATAGAGAAGAAAGGATAAGGATTAGGTGGACGAGAACGAGTACGAGGACGTCGTACTGGGTAGCACGACGCGACGAGAGCGACGACGACGTCGGTCTGCCAACGGCGCGCATCGATTGGCGCGCTAGCCGTGACCCCCACCAGTCGCTTTCGCTTTCACCCAATGGGGTCTCACTTTCGCGTTCGCCCGCGCCGAGCCCCAAGCCGGCACGCTGGCACAGCTCAGTGACTGGTGCACCCTACGTGCGAGTGCTTTCGTTGTGCTGCTCTTCTCTGCTAAGTGCGAGCCGGCGGAGCTTGAAACTGCGACGAAACGCATAAGGGAGACTGTGAGAGAAAAGGAGAGTGAAAGAAGGAGATAAAGGGAGAGAGAGAGAGAGAGAGAGGAGAGAAGACAAAAGAGTGAAGAAGGTTCGACCAAATTGTCACGTCCACCAGGAGCAGCCACCCACGCTGCGCCGGTGACCCTGACACTCGTCGCTGCTGTCACGACCTCCAGTTCGCAGTCGCGTGTCCCTCCCGAGAGTATCATCCTCCTGGTGAAGTCTCTTCGAAGAGCCAGGACTGTTAGCCCAGTTGGAGATTGAATTCAGTGACCTTGACTTTGTCCACAAGATCCAAGAGCATCCAGAGCGAGGAGCATCATTCTGTTCTCAGGCAAAAACCATCATCCATAAAATCCAACGTACGTGCGACGTTTGTTCTTGGGATCGTCGTGTCGCTTCGATCCGTATGTGGCTTTTAGTCTCACGTGTTGAACTTTACTCGCGAGTACAGTGCGTTTTTCACCACGACTTGTATTTTATAGTGCAAACATCAGAGTCATGTAAGTGTCAGTAACGGTTTAACTGTGCGTGTTTTTGAGGACTGATTTATTTTCGACATTAGCGACATCTAGAGGATTTTTCACTGGCATTCAAGTCGTGACGAGATTTTACTTGGAAGGTGCGTGTCTTTGCTTTATGACTAGTTGCCACTTTTTGACGCTTCTCGAATTTTCTCTGTGTACGATTGTGTTACTTTTTCATTGAATAGGCTGGAGAGAACGTGTTAGCTGTTTTGTTTTTCTATGATTCTTGAATTATTTGAACCTACAGAAACTCTTGGTACTTTGTCTGAAAGCCTGTAGTGACTTTGACGCATCGGGGACCCTTGTGTAAAATAGACGTGTCTCTGCGTGAGATAGTACATTCTTTTTATTTGCTACGGTATTTCGAGATCTGTTATTGATCGACAAATCTCAAAGTTAAAGATTCGGATTGAGAGACTGTGTGCGACGCGGAAGTGGCTTTAAGGTGAACTTTCACGAACGCCTGAGAGCACGTGGTTCGTCAAGTTGATGTTGAATGGGAGCCGGGGGCGCTCGATTTCAAGCCCAGGCGCCAGCCGCAAAAGTTTACGCGAATTGCGCGAAAATGAAATAAACTAATACGAATGCAGTTTGAACAATTTTTGTAGAGAAATTAGAATCAGTTTTTTTTTCTGTCAGGTACCTTTGGTCTATCGGTTCGTCGACTATGTGCCTCGTCTGAAGCTCGATCGAGGTAGCAGAGAGGAGGAGGAGGAGGAGACAGGGACGAGAAAGAGAAAGAGAGAAGTGCGGGAGGAGGAAAAAATAAATAAAGTTGAAAAAGGACGAAAAACTGGGTAGAGAAACGAGTCCAATCGTGCCGCAAGGCATTGCCGGCTCCACCGAAAAAGCTGCGTGGAGTCTCTGGAGTTTTGCTGATCTCTGGTACAGTCTCCAGGGCGAATCGTCGATTCTACCCGCAGGATCAGCGGGTTCTGTCGATCGATCGATCTGCCAGGAAATGGCACCCAGACGCCATACCAATAGCCACGGTGGCGGTTTGCTCGATCTCGGTGATAACGACATGATGGAGAATCTGACAATCAACGGGCAGAATTCAAACAGCACTCGCTGCTGCACACCAAGTGGCGAGTGTCTTCGTGGTGATTCTCTGATAAGGCTGAACGCCCTTCAAGACGTTGTCAAAGTGACGTGCAACAACGAGAGCTGCCCCGTCGGTCAGTTTATGCACCGCGAGTGCTTCGACGCCTGGGAGCAGACAGTCCTGACGTATCTGAAAAGCTGCGGCAGAGCACGCAGCTGGTCCGAGAGACAACGGCATCAGAATCTCTGGACCAAGAAGGGTTACGATCTTGCGTTCAAGGCCTGCGGTTGCCGTTGCGGTCGTGGTCATCTCAAGAAAGACCTGGACTGGATGCCACCAGGACTGGGGAACGCGTCTGGCAATCGTCAGGACGAGAACGAGGCGAAGAAGAAGAAGAGGCGCAATCGGCAGAACACCAGGCCGACCTTGGCCGTTTCCGCGGGGCCACCTAGCCACACGAATCACGGGGTGGTCGGTGGCTCTCGTGGCAGCGAGGCACAGATGATCGAGTCAGGACGCGGGAGAGCGGGATCATTGTCCTCGAGCACTGGATCAAGTTCGCCACCTGCTACCAGCGAGCCGAGCGTCAGCCCTTTGCATCAGCCGCAGATCGTCAAGAAGAAGAGCAAGGTCGACTTCTTCAGTGATCGGGCAAGGTTCGTATATTCTCTTTGTTCTCGTCCCCCTGGTGGGTTCATCATTTTCACTGGCCTCCGTATCTCGCAGGTTTGGATATAGAGTGCTGAGTAATATAGAGGGGTAGATTTTGCTTGGAAATGGAAAGAGAGAACTGTAGGTTGGGTGTAGCTCTGAGGGATTCGAATCCCGATTATCCCTCGGGCTTTTCTTGCTCTATCGGGATATCAAAGAGCGTGTTAGAGTCGTTATCGCGCACGCTACGGATTGGGAATGGCTGTTAGAGAGGGATGTCCCGGGTCCGGAATTACGGATCGTCGAGGAACAAAGGGAGGTTCCGTTTCTTAGCACGTGTGTCCGGAAGACCGGGAGACACGGGGGCGTCGGGACGCGGGTTCCAGCCCTCCCGAGAAAGGGATACTTTGTCTCGGGATCGTCCAAGCGGATTCTCGAGCTTTCCTGTCCCATTCCAGCAGGAGTAGCAGGAAGGAGTCCGGTCTCTGTGGCAAAGGTTAAAATTGATCACGTCGGCTAACCACTCGGCAATAATAACCTCGGACGATCGCGTTGCGATACGGGGCCTAAAGACTGGATAGAATATAATAATTATTGGCGGCCTCACCTACCGTTCCTCGTTTCGATCCTGTGGGCCCCCTCGGTCACGATTCTCTTCTCCGGGAACCCAGACTGTCCTTCCTCGACCACTTGCTGAGGTCAACCTCAACTTCGGGTCGGCTTAATCCTACCGCGAACTTCCACCCCCTTCCTTCCCCTAGCCCCACCCGTTATCCAAATGGGCTGACCTCATTGCCGAAGCTTCCCAAGAAATGGTATTTTTATTTCAAGCTACAAAAAAATAAAAGTTTTTAAAAGCGATCCTTATCTCCAGTGTTGCGGACGTTTTCTATCCGCCTGGTCCTCCTTTTAAATTCACGAAATTTACGGGAGGATTTTTTTTAAAACTGGTCCGTGCGGCCCATATGAAAATTCTCGACGTCAACCACGCAGTCCGATATCTTTTTCGTGCTCGATGAGCTGTTTGGCCTCACGCTGTGGCGGTTTTATGTTGCCGCTCGAAAGGCGGCGGCAGCATCACAGCAAACGTCTATTTCAATATGTATATCGCAGAGTTGGCCGCTATACAGGAGCACCGATGGCAGCGACTACATTATTGACGTAACTTTTCGAATTTACTTGAGCCAGCAGAGTTATCAGGCTTATAGAATAATTCTCCCAGGGAACTAGTTGATCCGGCCTACGGAATACATATACATATAGGGTGTATAGTACGCGGGGTGCTATAAGGTTTCGGGTGGATGCCGCTACTCCGAGAAGGACGGCATTCTCTTCCACCAGAGTGAGTTCGATCCGATCGTCCAAGATAGGACAGAGCGTGGTTCGCTGGATCTCTTGATTTTTCTTCGCTACGACAGAACGGACGAACGAACTTCAGAATGTTCGAGTGTTCCGAGTGTTCACAAAAGATTTACGCCTTCATACGTAATTCTGGATATCCTTTCTTCAGGCACTATATAGGATCTCATGCTGGAACAGGATACGCAAGGAGTCGTACCACTTTGCGATCGATTGTGACGTCATTAAGTAGGGTACGACTTCTTCTATCTTGACTCTGAATGAACGTAACTCTGCACTGGACGGAAGCACTGTAGTACCTCTTACGCGTGCGAGGCTGTGCGTCTCGAGGGTGAGAGAAGGATGGGTAGGCGGAAGAACGAGAGAAAGAGAGAAAAAAGAAAATATCGAAGGAATAGAAGTAGACGGAGCCTCGGTACGTGACCCCACCTATAACAGTGTTCGATACTGTAGATTGTCCACAACTTACTGTACACACTGCTATGCATATATGTATACGTGTCGTGCATTCTATATTTAGATCCTGCCTTGGAAACCTGTCCTATTTCTGCTTGTCCCAGAGCCGCCGTAATCGGCCGCGATCGTCTTCGTGAAAACTTATCGGGCAGTCACTATATCCAAGCAGAGAAGTAAACACATGAGTTTTCTTCGTTTTGGCCAGATTCCAGGATACCTCTTAGGAGTGTTCGACAACGTCTAAGAACTTTCGTTTTTCACGATACTGGCCGCACTCTCTCTCTCTCTCTCTCTCTCTCTCTCTCTCTCTCTCTCTCTCCCCTCCCAGCCTTGTGTAGGACGCCTATACACGTCCTTCTACGATAGGTTACGCCGAGCGTAGGTAATGCAGTCTGGCTGTCCCAGTGCAGTCGCACTAAAATGCAGGAGGGAGGTTACGTGGCGGCGGTCGGGTTAGGTTGGGCCGTTGAACGAGGGTGGGGCGTGGAGGGGGGTTGCGAGGGAGAATGCCCAGGGGAAAGAGAGACATGCCGGAGCTCCGCACGAGAGACGAAGGAGAGGGTTGCACGCTGCATACACTGCATAGTGGTGTTGTAGCCTTGACCGTGGCTATGGCTCAGGGCCACCAACTAAGCTGACGCTCCGGCAGAGTCCAAGGCCAACTGCATCGAACCGCTACGATGCATTTAAAGCGCCCTGCTGCCCTTGATGCCCTTGCTCCTCTTGCTGCTCTTGCAGCATCGGCCTGCTGGCTGCTGCATTGCAGCAAAAAGATACGTCGCGTACCTCATCGCGAGTAAAAAGCTTCCCTCTGTGCCCGACGCGCGGCGCTGCCGGCGGGACCGTTTACTTTGGAACTCGCAGTACTTGTACTGTATCCACGATTGTTTTACTGTACTTTAGCTCATCTCCATTCCGCTTTCACAGTTTGCTCGCCTGGAATTACGAATCTCGGTTCGGACTTACTCTACCAGACTTTCTGGGGATTTGCCTTGCGTCCGCGTAGGAAGGAAAATATGAGAACGGAAGAGAGCTTTGACGTTATAAAATTTCCGGTTCTCGTGTGTATGGCACGATTCCTTTGTTCCGGATGTGGCGTGGGGGGTCGTGCGCGCTTCTGTGTTACTTTCGTTTTTGTCGGAAACCCCTGCGCTGAGACAAGGAGGGTGCGTTCGGGGCGTGGAGACAAAGAGAGAGAGAGAGAGAGAGGGAGATAGCCGAGCACATTCTTTGCGCTTTATAGCCTTCAATTAACGGGAGACTCGAATGGCGCATTATCCTAAATCTTGCGAGGAAGCCATTCTCGCGCGGTGCAAAGGACGCCGGGACGTTGAGCCGGAGGTTGGCTGAACTGGTATGAGACCGATTACGAATTCTGAATATTATTACGCACACGGGGTATAGTGACGAGCTGCAGGGGCGTACGCGGTGCACCCCCGGACTGCCGCGCCGCGCTATTTTGGGGTTTGAATTTATTCCTCGTGTTTTTTTGCTCGCGCCACGGCCTGGGCGCGCCATAGACATTTTTGGAACCGCAATGCGACCGATAAATCCTCCTCTTACTTGCGCCCGACGAGCCAAGGGGTTGTTTCAACCCCACGTAACCGCGCTCTGCTCTCTTCTCTTCTTTTCACGTCCCTCTTTCACCCTTTCGCCGTCCCGCTACTCGACTCGACTCAACAACTCGCAACGGCTATCTGCGTTTTAACCAAAAATAAATTACACCGAAATAGTTCCGGTACTTTCGGGGATGATTCGTTACGGGCACTTTACCCCGTCCACTGCCTTTTATCCCGATTCCATTTGATTGCGCTCCGGGCCCTCTCTTTATTTTCCGTTCTAAATCCTAATCTTGGACAGCTATGCCTCACCCATATCTATATCACAACAATTTGCATATGGCTCAGCCAGTTACTGTACTGCTCGTAGTACTATTGGCCGGGAGTGCGAAGAAGCATAGTGGCCACTTCGAGGCAGCTTGTATATCTATATAGATTAAGATAGGCCGTCTTTACCGAGTAACGATAAGCCATTATCTGAAGATGCTCGGGATCGCGCTAGCGTCATGAAAATTGGAGACTCAGGAAATCCTGAGGAAAAAGAATGCACCCCTATCTAGGAACGAGGAAGTCGATTGCGTCATCCAGCAGACCCGTCAGGCGCCAACGAAACGTCCTGCGGCAGCCGTGAGAAAATAAATAAATAATTCACGTTGAGAAAGGTTGCCGCTCGAAAGTTTCGAAGATTCTAAGTTTCGCCCGGGTGGAAACTTTAAAGGCTAATTTTCAAGAACACACGCTCGACTCGCCCGCGGATTCTCGGGCTGGCACGATAAGCCTGCTAAAATAATTTTAAAAAGTTTCGAGACGAGGATGACTCCGCATCTCCCCGACGGACAGCATCCTCGTCCGAAGACATTGTCCGAGATAGTTTTCGATGGCGGTTTTCCAGGAGGAGGCGTCCTGGACTCCGATCCACCCTCGCTCGGCTGCCCGTCGATAAATTCTCAAGGAGGCGTTCGCATAAATTGGCAGATCGTTACTGGACAGAGAGCACCTCGATAAATCTCCGGGACTTTGCTCTCTTCGCTGAGGAGGATCTTCCTTCTTTGCTGCTTCTTCTCAGACGCCCTCTCTCCCTCTCTCTCCCTCTCTTTCCTTCTGTCCTTAACTCGTCAGGATTAAGTTTACGAATTTCTCGAACAGTGGAGCTTGGCGTTCGCGTTTGATTTTTCACCCTCGAGGCTGCGACTGGCAGGAAGGGGTTGGGGATGGTCATTATTAATATAAATATCTCGTTATTTCGATCGGCATAGTCAACTGTTATCTAGACCGGTCAAGGTCGATCTTCTCATTAGTCACTATGTGGGTAAATAAATATTTTTTAATTCGTACGTCAGGCGTGAGCGTGTGCGCGGGCCTCTCTATCTTTTCTGTTTACACGTCGAGTCTGACTTATCAGCCGAGGGTGGCGATGACGCGCCCGTCGAAGCCCCATGGCCTCCTGGCCCCATGAAACCTGGATAAAGTCTCTTAGTGCAGCCGGATTGTGAGTGCGGCTTTAAGCGACGGCACGTATACATATACAAAGGGCAGATCTTTTCTCAAGAGTTTTCAAACAGTTTCCACGAGAGGTAGCTCGCTACGTGGATCGCTGGGACTCAGAGCCGTGGGCCTTGTGCACTGTTAGA